GCAGCCAGAGTGCTTCTTGGAGGCCAGGATGGCCAAACTTCATCTCTTGTACTTTGGACATATTGTCAGGAGGGACCAGTTGCTGGAGAAGGCTATCATGTTTGGTAAGGTGGATGGTCAGAGAAAAAGAGGAAGACCCCCCCTCCCCAACGGAATGGATTGCCAGAGTCGCAACATCCCTGAGCTCAAGTGTGGCAACAATTGTGAGGTTGGCCCAGGACCAGGCAGTGTTTCTTTCTGTTGTACATAAGGTTGCTGTGAGTCGGTATTGACTTGATGGCACCTAACAACAACAGTCTTGCAGAATATCTTATATGTTGCCCTGAGAGTAGAACAGTTTGTCATCAAATGTCTATACTTGTGCTCTCTGATTCATACTAGAAAAGTATAGTTGAGTCAGATACACATTTATCATCCTTATAACAAACATTTACTGAGTACCTAAGGTTTGAACACCTGGATATCCAGAAATAAAAGAGTAATTTTTGTCCTTTAAGGAACTTGAAAATACTTCAAGCAAAAATGGTATCACTCCTTCCAAAAAACACAATTTTAAGAAGAGATTTAAATACTTCTCAATTTTTTATTTTATTATTTTTTAGAGGCAACAGGTAATACTTTATTTCTCAGTATAAATTTGTGTTTTTCAATGTATTTTTAAAGCACTGTAATTTAATAAGATTTAATGAAATATGGTTATTTTGTTTTGTTTTATTTTAATGGTTATGTTTTAAGAGGGGAAAAAGCAAATGAATACTAGAGTTGAATTCCCTATTTTAATAAAACTTCTTTCTGCAGGTCTTAATCCTGTTTAAACTAATTCTTCTTGAGAAAAAGGTAAGATTTAAAGGGATAGAAGGAAGGGTGGGATATTAAACTTGTATTGACATTTTAAAAATAACAAAATTGATAATAGTGTGAATTAAGTTTTTTGCCTATCAAATTATGGAGCTAAGATACATATTCTTGTTGCCTATCATAGATACATACTTTTGTGCAATTTTCTGGGAACCATTTGACAGTATAATTAAGTATCAGGATGGTTTGACGGCAAGTAACAGAAAACTCAATTTAAACTGACTTGAATAATAAATGTGTTGGGTCACTGCAGACTTCAGGGTTGGTGGATTCGATGCTTTGTTATTGTTATTTGCTCTCAAGTTGGTTCCAACTCATAGCAACCTTATACACAACAGAACCCCACACTACCCATTCCTGCTCCAGCCTCACAACTGTTATTACAGCTGCTGCCACTGAATCAGTCCGTCTCATTGGAGTCTTCCTGTTTTTCCACCAGTCCTCCACTTTACCAGGTTTGGTGTCCTCTTCTAGGTCCCTCCTGATAACATGGCCAAAGTATGAAAAACAAGTCTCAGCATCCTGGCTTCTAAGGTGCATTCTAGCTGTTCTTTCGGCAGTCCATGGTCCTTTAATATTCTTCTCCAACATTCAAATGCATCAATTCTTCTAGTCTTCCTTATTCATTGCCCAACTTTCACATACAAATGAGGTCATTGAAAATATCATATTATGGGTCAGGCATACGTTAATCCTCAACATCTTTGCTCTTTAATATTTTTAAGCGGCCTTGGACAGCACATTTGCCTAATGCGATATGTCATTTGACTTCTTGACTGTTGCTTCCATGAGTGTTGATAGTGGACCTAAGCCGAATGAAGTCTTTGCCAACTTCATTCTTTTCTCCATTTATCATGATGTATTTATTGGTCCAGTTGTAAGGGTGTTTTGTTTTGTTTTTTTCTTTACATTGAGGTGCAATCCATACTGAAGGCTTTAGGTAGTATTTGATCCTCATAAGTAAATATTTTAAGTCCTCTTTGCTTTCATCAAGCAAGGTTGTTTCATTTAAAAATTGCAGGTTGCTTACTAATAAGTCTTCTTCCAATCATGATGCCACATTTTTCGTCATATAATCCAGCTTCTCTGATTAATTTGTTGAGTATACAAATTGATTAAGTATGTTGAAAGGGTACAACCTTGATGTACACCTTTCCTAATTTTAAACCATTTAGTATTATCTTGTTCTGTTCAAACAGCTGCTTCTTGATTTATATGTAGGTTTCTCATTTGCACAATTAAGTGTTCTTGAATCTTTGTTCTTCACAATGTTTGCCATAGTCTGTCATGGTCTACACAGTCAAAAGCCTTTATATAATCCATAAAGCACAAATAAATATCGTTTTGGTATTCTCTCTCTACTTTTAGCCAAGATCCTTCTGACATCAACAAGGATAATCCCTAGTTTCATATCCTCTTCTGAATCTGGCCGTTCTTGGTTAATGTACCATTGTAACTGTTTTTTTATTATCTTCAGCAAAATTTACTTGCATGGGATCTAATGAATATTGTCCAATAATTTCTGCATTCCATTGGAATGGGCACAAATATGGATCTTTTCCAGTCAATTAGTCAATTGGCTGTCTCCCAAATTTCTTTGCCTCGTTGAGTGAGCACCTCCAGTGCTACATCAGTGTGTTGAAAGATTCTGGTTTGTATTCTGTCAGTTCCTGGAGCCTTGGTTTTTTGCCAGTACTTTCAGTGTAGCTTGGACTTCTCTCTTCAGTACCACTGGTTCTTGATCATATGGTACCTCTTGAAATAGTTGAACATCAGCCATGTCATAGGCAGGTCTTCTAGAGAAGCAAAACCAGTGAGACTTATATGTATGTGTGTGTGTGTGTGTGTGTATAAAATAAAGTTTATATCAGGGAAATGGCTCACAGTTGTAGAGTCCCAGGTCCCCAGTGGAAGAGAGAGCAAGCTTTTCTTGCATGTCCATTATATTGAGAGCAGGGCACACCTAATTAACTGCTCATAGACAGTCACCATAGACTTAACTATCACCTGCCAAACCACTGGGAATCCTGGCCCAGTCAAGTTGCCACAAATCCTTAACTATCCCAGACCAGTTGTTTTAGGTACAGTAACTGTGTATTCCTTCCATCATCATCATCTTCTTTATTTTTAAGTTTTTATTGTGAACTGAGTGATAGTTTACATGGGAGAACATCGGCTTTACACCACCGTTTCATTGCAGTGATTACAATCTCCTCTGTGCATCATCACTCAACAGTGTCTGCTTTTATTCCTTCTGGTTTTTTGGGGGCATGGGGGGGATGTACACAAAAACACTTAGGAATATATAACCATTTAAATAACCAAAGGGCACATTCTGCAAGCCTGCCTCCTGGCTGCCAGCTCTCAGGCTGCCCCCTCTCTCCATGTCCCCATCTCTGCGTCCATCTCTGGTGTTGCTGCTTCTCTGGATAGGGTCCCACATTCTGCTCATGATCTTCTCCCCTGATCCTTCCATCTTCTTTTGATGGTTCCACATCATTCAATGTTTTACCCATAGAATCCTTCAATATTGTAGGTCAAGGCTTAGATTTTTTTCATCGGCTCTTTCAGCTTGACAAATGCTGAACATATTCTTCCCTTTTGTTTTTCCAATTCCAGGTGTTTGCACATTTCATTATAATAGTTGACTTCATGTTCTTGAGCAGCCCTTTGTAATTTTCTGTTTTACTCTTTTACTTCCTCATTTCTTCTCTCCGTTCAACAGCAATTTCAGAACCCTTCTTACATCTTTGTCGGTTTTTACTTCTTTCCTGTTTTCTGTATTGTATAGTTAAGTATCTAGGTTTCTTTCTTCTCTGCTCCACAGCCCACAGCACTAGTTTTATCCTAAATCATAGTTTCCCTCATAGTAGAATGGCTGTCAGCAGTGGTTGTGTTATGCATTTCCTTAGTCATATATGATAATAGAGGTGGTGGTGGTGCTTGTATACCATGGAGTTGGTTCCGACTCATAGTGATTCTGTGTAGGGTTCCTGAGGTTGTAAATCTTTATGGGAACAGAAAGCCTTGTCTTTCTCCCACAGCAGAGATAGTACCACCTCCAATCAACTTAACAAGAAATCTTTACAATTTATTTGGGTCTTTCCCTGAATCCTGGTATGGCAATGTGGGTTAATGTGCTGGATTGCAAAGTCGGTTTGAACTGCAAGGTTGGTTGTTCAAGCTCACCAGCTACTCCTCAGAAATCCTATGCAGAGCCACTATGGGTCAGATCTGACTGAAAGGCACTTAACAACAACAACGACAATCCCTGAATCAGACTCCTGGGATATCACTGGACTGTGAACCATAAGGTCAGCATTAGAAACCCACCAGCTGCTCTTCAGAAACCCTATACAGGGTCACTATGAGTCAGAACCCACTCGACGACACTTAACAATAATCCCTGAATCAAGTAGCTTTGGTGGCACAGTGATGAAAGTGCTTGGATGCTAACCAAAAGGTCGGTGGTTCTAATCTACCAGTGACTCTGTGGGATAGAGATGAGCAGTGTATTTCAGCCTTGGAAACCCTCTGAAGCAGTTGTACTCTGTCCTTTAGGGTCTGTGAGTCAGAATCGACTCAACAGTAGGTGTGGGTTTTGGGTTATCCCTTATTCAGTAATTGATGCCAAAGAAGTGAAGTGGCTGCACTGATTGGTTTAAACCTGGATTCCAAAGCTACCCTCATATTATTGGGGACAGGATTGTACTGTGATTGGGTTTTAACTAGCATCTAACCTGCTGCCTACTTGTGGAAATAAAATTTTATTGAAATCAGTCAATTACAGAAGGACAAATATTATATGCAACCATTATGGTAAAAACATAAAAAGTTTTCATACTTAAAAAAAAAAAAGAATTTTTTATTAGTTTGGAAGAAGAAAGAATATTCCTTCATAACCAAAATATCATTTTACATTTAAGAAATTTAACATTGGCACAAGAGATGATAATCTGACATAAAATCTTATTTCCAAACTTTCCCAGATGACATAACAAATTAGCTAATTGTTCAATCTGAGATCCAGTTAAGATTGCATTGCTGGGTCATCTGTGGGATGATAAATTTGATGTGATATGAGAAAATCCTGTTTCCCAACAAAATTTCACAACAGTTTCAGCATCAATTAGTAATTTTTGCCTGAAACAGTTGTTTGTTAACATTGGTGAACACCAAAAGGTGATTTTCTAATTCTTTTACATGTGTTAGTTGTCCATCTTCTGTATAAAAACAACAGATGAACTCAGTGGATTTTGTCACTGAATTTTGACTGACTCCATTGATTTCTCCAGTAACTGTAGATTGCTGGGTGAACTGATAACTGTGGGACGTGTGAATTTTTTAATTGACTTTTGATTGACTCCATTTCAGGTTCTCTTCTATATTTCTCCAGTGAATAAGCTGGTGGGCGCACTGATGACGGTGTTATCCCTTTTCCCAGGTAAGAGAGCAATAATAGCTACCCTTTCTTCTGTTTAACTTGTACTGGAACATTCAATGATAAGTTTTTAAGGGTAAAACTCAATTAGGCTTAACATTTCTATTTTAATATGTTACTTTGCTTTTTGCAATAGATTTCTCTCTTTTATTTGATTTTTTTAATACATTAAAATATGGGTATGTGTAGATTGTTTAATTTTTTAATAGAAGTTGTTGTTGAGTGCCGCCGAGTCGGTTCCGACCCATAGCGACCCTGTATAGGGTTTCTGAGGAGCGGCTAGTGAGCTTGAACTGCCAACCTTGTGGTTCAGACCAACATTCTATAGAAGAGTTCAACTAATGTAACATGGAATATACAACTACTCTTTTCTTCTGTTTTATCATTATAAGCCAAGTTCTTCTCCAATATTACATGTTTTAGGCATGATTGAACATGGTCTCAGTGACTGTTCTCAGTATAGACCCCGAAAAAGTATGTCTGAAGATGCTGGGCTTCATGAAACAAATCCTCCTGCGGATGACTTTGTTTCTGTGTCTGCACCTGCCATGTCAAATAGCATCTCGGGAACTGTTAAGAAAACCATGACAGGAAGCTATGGCGGAGATGCTGTCATCAAGACCAAAGAACTTTTGTTCCAGGTCGAAAGTGACAACAGCAAAGGACTGGAACCCAGAAACACCAATCAGTTTTTGAAGCCTCCATCCCGCCCATCTCCAGAGTCTTCAGAAAGTGACTGGGAGACATTGGATCCTAGTGTATTAGAGGACACCAACTCGAAAGAAAGGGAACCAGTGGGGTCAGAGCAGACAGACTTCTTTCCTCAGGACTCTGTGCCCTCAGACAGTCCTCCAATTACTGTACAGCCTCAAGCTAATACAGGGCAGCTGGTCCTCATACCAGGACTGATATCGGGTTTGGAAGAGGACCAGTATGGCCTGCCCCTGGCCGTCTTCACAAAGGTAAAGTTTAGTGACCTTTACTTACTGAGTTCCATCTAGAATATGACAAAATCTTTTGGAGTTTAGCTTGTAGTGTTGAACACATTTTCATATCTGAAAATTTTTCTTTAAAAATGTTAACACAGCATGCTGTGTGTTAGGGCATCTGTGACCATACTGTCCAGCATTTTTATTTGAAAGAAATGTAAAACTCAGTAGATATGAAGTTAGCAATCAATACATTGTGGGGTAGTGTTTTTTTTGTGCTTAAGTCTATTTTTTATTATTTTGATTTCTATTTGGAAAAGGTAAGTTGAGGAAATCCATACATTAGTTGAGGAAGTCCATTTCTATTTGGAAAAGATTAGTTGAGTAAGTTGAATATATATTAATATAGTTTAATTCAAATATAGTTGAATATATATTAATATACTGTAATTCCAAAAATACAGTCTGAAAAGAAAAAATTCTTAGATGTTAACTTAAATACTAGTAAACATCATTTAAATATAATTCTATTTTGGTTCATTGTTTCCTAAAAACAAATTGTTTTTAGGGGAGTGAGGATTCCCACTTGTTCTAATTTCATGATTAAGCTCACCCACCTCCCTTCTAGTTTTGAGATAACAGTCATGATTTTGTAAATTTTACCAATCTTATCATAAATGGAATTCTAATGAGAAATTACCTAAATTGATCTCTAATTGAATACGTTTCTTTTTCTTTTTGTAGCATTTTACAGTTAGGAAAGATAATTTTAGGTAACCACTAAAATAATTATCTTTTACATTCTACTAAGTTTTTCCCTTTTTCAAACAAGCAGCATCCATTCATTCTTAGTTTTTAGTTTTGTGAATATGGTACAATTGCATGTATTCGAATATATAGTTGCTCCACCAAAAGATCACTTTTTTCTAGGATCCAATACCTAGAAGTGGGGAAAGGTTGATCATACAAAATAGGTATCTTCAGCTTTACTGGATAATGGCAAGCTGTGTCCTAAAGCGGTTGTAACCATTTCTAGTCCCAGCAGACGAGAAGTGGATGAGAGTTTTCATTGCTCTGCCATTGTTCTGTCAAAGTGTGAAACTTGGTCATTCTTAGCCAATCGGATGGGTGAGTAGTGCTATTGGGTGCCTCTTGGTTTGCCTTTTTCTGATTACTATTGAATTTGTTGGCCAATTTGATGTCCCTTTCGTGTAGTATCTGTGGGTTATCTTCCTTATTGCTGACTTTTGTGACTTTTTAAAATCAGTTTTCTACTTTACAGTTAATGCCTTTGGAGTGTTGTTTAAGAAATCCTTTTCTACTTCAAAGATATGAAGATAATCCCCTGTATTGTCCTTAAAAGTTTTATAGCTTTGACTTCACATTTGGGTTTTAATCTACATAGAATTGATTTTTTTTCAATGTTTTAATTGTGAATTATATGATAGTTCACATGGGAGAACATTAGCTTTACATTCATCCTATCGTATATCATTTCATTGCCATGGTTACATTCCCCTCCACAGGATATACCCTGCAAGCTTACTCCCTCCCCCCTCTCCCCACTCCTCCACCCCCGGTGGTCAGCACACAGCCCTTCTCCCTCTCTGGGTCTAAAGCCCCCCAGCCACTCCATCTCTCCACATCTTCGTCTCTGCCTCCATCTCTGGTGTCAGTGCTTCTCTGGGTAGGGTCCCACTCTCCGCTCTTCTCCCTTGATGGTCCCAGGGACCTCTGCTCTTAAACTGCAAAGTTAAATCACTCCCCTCCTTGCTACAAAACGTCTACCTTTACATTTCCAACCATGACAATCAGTCCTGATAACAGTTATTCACTATTGTATCACAAGAGACCTATCCGCATTTCCTTTCATCAGCCCCACCCAGACAGACTGGATACTTCTCAGTGGAGATTCTACCTTCCTCCGCGCCTTCTGGATCTAGGCACTCTCTTGAAACTTGTAAGCCAGTCACTTCTTACCTTTGAAGCCCCCCATTTTGGGTAGCCAATGTCCAAGTTGCCCATCCCTGTCTACTCTGTGTATGGAGGGGTTGGGAATGATCCTTGCTGTAAAGATTTGTTCTCTCTTTTAGGATACTGCATCCATAGGTATAGATCAAGTTCATTAAATTGTATCAGATTGCTCTTTTTTTTTTCCTCTTCTTTCTTCTAGTTGAGCTCTGATCATTCAGTCATTGAAGCCAAGTCAAGTGGGTATTATCTGCAAGTGTAGGTGTTCTTGTGCATATGCCCTCTCTTCTTATCAGCTGGACGTTTCACTCTCCACTCTAGTCCTCTGTGGCTATGTCACTGACTCTGGGCCGAAGAGTCCCCAGGTGTTGCCACACTGTTGGCCAACCAGGTCTCCATCCAAGTTCACAGGAGTCTATTGAATATTGTAGGGCTTAGCTCGCAGCTTCATTTCTGTTTTTCCCACGTTTCCCCTTATCGGTGACGAACATGGTCACCATTCAGAGCTTGTATTCCCATTGAGTCTTAGTCTTGGAAAGGGGCTTGTTCTGAGGGGACCCGATCACTTGCCTTGATGTCTCTCCTGGGCGAGCAACTTGCTTGTTCTTGTAGTAACAGTTGGTCTGCCTATATTATTTTGTATTTTTCCTGTTGGTCTTTCTTTCAAGAAGTATCTTCTGTTCTTGTAGCAGCTCCAGGCTGGTATGTTTGTCCTTTCAAGTGGAAATTTCCCTCCTCTAAAGTTTCTGGATGCTGTTCAGGATTCCACTTATGGTCTTATGTAATGCAGTGGCCCTTCAGGAAGCCTCCTTCACTGGGCACCTTGTAGCCTCATTTTAGGTATTCAATCAGTTATAGGCAGAAGACAGATTTACAAGCTTTCTATGGTGATATTTCTGGCAATTCCTTTCTCTTCCCCTCAAGTGTCTATTTTATAATGGCATGCAAGGGAAACAAAGATTCATAAGACGGCCAAGCATCTTAACATTATTTTCCCCCTTTTCCCCATTCCAACCATATCTCAATCCCTCTATTCCAGAGCCTTGTTGTTCCAAGGTTGTGCATATATCATTATTTACCTCTATCCTACTTAGCCTATGCAAACTTGCCTAATTGTTTTCCCATCTGCTTTGTTCTTCCATTCTCCTCCCCCTTCTTGTATATTGCCCCCCCAGCACTCAAACTAACCCTGTGCTCCACCTTCCCCTCCCTCCCCTAACCCCACCCCCCACATCCCAGTAGCCAGCAAAGAATCCCCCCTCCTTTAGTATGGGTTCTTTTTCTTAGTCTTTTACAGTAGTGGTCCTATGCAGTATTTCTCCTTTTGTGACTGACTAATTTCACTCAATATAATGTCCTCAAGGTTCATCCATATTATGTGGTGGCTTGCAGCCTCCTTGTTATTCTTCAAGGTAACATACAATTCCATTGTGTGTATATACCACAGTTTGTTTATCCATTCTTCAGTTGATGGGCACTTTGGCTGTCTCCATCTTTTTGCTATTGTAAATAGTGCTGCTATGAACATTGGTGTG